TAGTGGAATAGAAAAATAAACTGTGGTATAGTCACACGATGGAATATCATACAGCAATGAAAATGAATTAATTAAAGCCACCTGCAACAACAAGCTATTTCCAGGAGTTGTAGAAGAGTGACTTGTTCATATAAAATCCTAAAACATGCAAAATTTAAAGAATATATATTTTTTGGAAACAAACGTAAAAAAAAACAAACATGAAAAAGGGCAGTTAATAGTAAAAACCAAATTTGGGATAGTAGTTACTTCAGAGAGTTGCACAAAGGACTGTAAAGGTGATATATATAAAACACACACACACACACACACACACACACACAGGCATACCTCATTGTATTGTGCTTTGCTTTATTGCACTTGGTAGATACTGTGTTTCTTACAAACTGAAGGTTTGTGGCAACTCTGTGTTGAGCAAGTCTGTCATCGACCATTTTTCCAACGTGTTTGCTCACTTTGTGTCTCTGTGTCACATTTTGGTAATTCTCAAAATATTTTGAACTTTTTCATTGTTTTTATATTTGTTATGGTGATCTGTGAACTTTGATGTTAATATTACAGAAAGAAGGCTCAGATGATGGTCAGCATTATTTAGCTGAAAAAATTTAATTTTTAAATTAAGGTATATACTTTTTTTAGATGTAATGCCATTGCATTAGACTGCAGAATAGTGTAAACATAACTTTTTCTATGTACTAGAAAACCAAAAAATTCATGTGACTTGCTTAATTGTGATACTTGCTTTAAGAACCCACAGTATTCTCCGAGGTATGCTGTGTGCGTGTGTATATGTTTGTGTATATACATATATATTTAATTTTAATTAATTAATTTTTTAAACTGACTGGTGGTTACATGGAGATTTGTTGTCACTACTTTATATATTTTATGTATTATGTAAATATTCTTTTTTAAACTATTCAGTAAGTCATGGTATCTCAGAGTTAGAAGTGACCTTAAATATCATCTAGTCCAGCTTAAGCAAGTATCACTTTAGAGCGTTATTTAATTGTTCAGTGTTTTACTCAAGCAGATTGTAGGTGTCTTAACAACAGGGGCTGTGTCTTGTACTTAATGGGTTTCAGACCATGGCTGCAGGCCCAACGTATGATACATGATCTGACACTATGATACAATATGCAAGCAGGACTGTCCCAGAAAATCTAGAAATACAGTTAGTGTAAGTATACTTTTAAAAAATTTCTCACTACCTTCAGGAATTTTCTTATATATGGAACTTAAGAAAAAAATTATGGAGGAATACGTGTTTATTGAAAAAGTCAAACAAGCAATAGTTTATAATCAAAGATTAAAATTCCTCTCTCTCATATCTCGAGGCTGACTCATGTTAGTATAGTTTGGTGAATACCTTCCCAAACCTTTCTGTGTGTGGAAACATATACACGTATCTTTTCTCTTCTTTAGGAAAATGAAGTCAGAATAAATATGTTTCCCTAAAAGTTGACAGCCTATCAATGTATGATGAACAGTCTTCCAAACCATACATATAGATCTAACTCATTCTTTTTAACAGTTGTATAACATCATCTTTGGTCGTGCCATAATTTATTTAACCACCCTCTTATTAATAGACATCTAGAGGGAGTTCCCTCGTGGTCCAGTGGTTAGGACTTGGTGCTTTCACTGCCATGGCCCGAGTTTAATCCCTGGTTGGGGAACTAAGATACCGCAAGCCACGCGGTGTGGCCAAAAAAAATATTAGACATCTAGATTATTTCCAAGTTTTGGCTATTCCAGAGAATGTTGCCAGTAATCATCTTTGTATGTATGTCACTAAACAGTAATGCCATTTATTTTTGAAGATTCCCATAGCGGTACTACTAGGTGAAAGGGTTTTAATGACTTTGTGGATATTTTCTTTCCTCAAAGTTTGTAGTATTTTTCATTCCTTCCAGGAGTGTTATGAAAGTGCCAGTTTTACCACGTCATAGTCAGCTCTGAATGTTGTTCCTGCCCCTTTCTTGCATGTTTCTCAACCTCGTGGGTGAAAAGTGGTTTCACTTGATTGTATGTGCATTCCTGACTGCTAATGTGGCTGTCTTTTCATTGGCTTATTGACCACCTGCATTTCCACTTTCGCAAATTATTTATAGTTGCAGTTTTATCTTTGGGTTGTTTATCTTTCCTTTGTGCTTCATATCCTGTTTACAGATATTCTCTCCCAGTTTGTTTTTAGACTTTGTTTATGGTATCTTTTATAATAGCTAATATTTTCTCCTTAACATTCTGAGTGTTGCTTACTGAGATATAATTTACATACAGTAAAATTTACTCCTTCGGCATAACTGTAGTTAAGTGAGTTTTGAAAAACGTGTAGCCATCATATTACCAAGTTATAGAATATTGTCATCATCCCAGAAATTACCCCTAAGTAATTAATTTCCCCCAATCCCCGCCTCTGGCAACCACTGATCTCTGTTTTGTGTCTATAGTTTTGCCTTTTCCTCAATGTCACGTAAATGGAATACAGTATGTAGCATTTTGTGTCTGGCTTCTTTCACGTAGCCTAGTGATTTTGGTATTTACCCATGTTGTTACAAGTCTCAATAATTTGTTCCTTTTCATTGCTGAGGAGTATTCTGATATACGATATGTCTTTCCTAGGGCTGCTGTAAAAAAATCCCACCAACTAGGTGGCTTAACCAAAAAATTTATTGTCTCACAGTTGTGGAGGCTAGAAGTCTGCAATCAGGGTGTCCACCGGGTTGGTTCCTTATGAGGACTGTGAGGGAGAGTCTGTTCCATGCCTCTCCCCCAGCTTCTGGTGGTGCCAGGTGTTTCCTTGACTTGTTGCCGCGTAACTCCAACCTCTGCCTCCACTTTCACGTGGTTGTCTTCTCCTTGTATGTGCCTTCACATTGTCTTCTCTCTCTGTGTGTTTGTTTCTGTCCGTATTCCTCCTTCTTTACTAGGACACCAGTCACATTGGATTAGAGCCCACTGTCATGACCTCATTTTAACCTGATTACTCGATAAAGACTATCTCCAAGTAAAATCACATTGTGAGGTACTAGGGGTTAGGACGTCCACATACCTTTTTGGGGAGACACAATTGAACCCATAACATACGAATGGACACTGTTTGTTTGTTTATCCATTCACCAGTTGATGGACATTCAGATTGTTGCTGTCATGATAGATAATTTAAAACAAAAGAAAAAAGGAACCTTGGCTTGCCTGCTCTTTTTAGCCTTTGACTATGTGGAAGAGGAGAGATGTTATTTCTCTGCTCAGATCCCAACCCACCTTCCTGTTTGGAAAAAGTGCTAGAAAGCAACACAGTGCTGGCCACAGAAAGGAAAGAGGAGATTCCAAAAAACTAGAGACTTAGAGACTTAAAAGCAGAACATGTGATGAAATGAATTTACCCAGTAATCTAATTTTTTTGTTTCATTTGTATTTTTCTTTTACATTAAACTTTCCTTTAAATCTTTTTTAAGGGGGATATTTAAGCTTTTGACTGTATGCTCAATAATGAACTGAGTTGGTTAACTGGAGTAGGTCATGGCCAAACTTAAGAGTTCAGTTCTGTGCCGGTTGGTTTCATCTTGTCCCCTCTTTCTCCAGACCATAAGCTCTGGCCCTAGCAGTTCTTTCAGAGATATTTCCTTTCAGTGCCTTGTTCTCAGTGTCCTCATTATGGTTAGAGAAGCAGCCTTGAATCAAGTGTATGCTGTTACACTTGAGAATATGAAGTTTCAGGGGTTTAGGACTGAAATGAACATGCAGTGAGACAGTGAGGGCAAGAGGCAGTTCAGGAAGACTTCCCAGGTGTTGGTTTTAGTAATTTTGAGGTTCAGCCACAGTGATTTTTCTACTGTCTGGGACAGACCATAAAAATGTGAAGTCTAAGGACAATGTCCGAGGACTTAGTCAAGTCATTTAAGTAAATGTTTATGAAGGATTTAGTAGGTGTTTTCACTATACTAGTTGCTAGGGTGCAAAGATGAATGAGGTGAGTCTTGTAGGTCCTGCTAAGGAATTTTGTCTTGATTGTGGGGAGCCACTGAAAGGTTTTTAGCAGGGCTGACGTGATCAGCTACAAGTCAAGAAGGAATGTGAAGTTGAGTGTGGATGTAAGTTACATCATTTATCATAGCAAAGTGTTAGAAATAGTCCAGAATATCAAGTAGAAAGAAATGGGCTTAAAAACTGAATACTGATGCAGGAAAGTCTTACGGAATATGCTGACAGTGAAACACAGGTAACAAAACATGTACAATATGATTGCAGTTTTGTTGCAAAAGAAATAAGTTAAAAGATGAAAAAAACTTATAGGAAATACACCAAAATTCCAAGCTTATTTCTGGATGGTGGTATTTTACATACATTTTTCTTTCTTTCTTCTTTTCAGCTTTTTCTTGTTACAGGATAGATGTATAGTTTGCAGTATCAGAATGTAAAAGCACCTGCTTTTTATTTTTATTTTTTTATGTTTTTCATGCTTTTATTAGTTTACTGCGTGGTACATGCCTCTTAATCTTTTTTTAAAATAAATTTATTTATTTATTTTTGGCTGTGTTGGGTCTTCGTTGCTGTGCGCGGCCTTTCTCTAGTTGCAGTGATCAGGACTACTCTTTGTTGCGGTGCGTGGGCTTCTTATCGTCGTGGCTTCTCTTGTCGTGGAGCACAGGCTCTAGGCGCGCAGGCTTCAGTAGCTGTGGCACACGGGCTCAGTAGTTGTAGCTTGCGGGCTCTAGAGCGCAGGCTCAGTAGTTGTGGCACATGGGCTTAGTTGCTCCGTGGCATGTGGGATCTTCCCGGGCCAGGGCTCAAACTTGTGACCCCTGCATTGGCAGGCGGATTCTTAACCACTGCACCACCAGGGAAGCCCCACACATGCTTTTTAAATTGAAAAGAAAGAAAAGAAGTAGAAACTAGGTGCTGTAAGCGCTCCTGGACCCACTGGACCCATTGCGTTTTTTCACCTGTTGTTTGGAAGTGACACTGACTGCCTGACGCCGTATCTGGTTCTTCAGCACAGGAGGAAGCGCCGCTCCACCCCTCTGACTTCCTCCACGCTGCCCCCACAAGCACCAGAGGAAAGCTCCTATTTGCAGACTACAGATATCTCGCTCTGGACAGTGGTGGCCGCTATTCAAGCTGTGGAGAAGAAGATGGAGTCCCAGGCTGCCCGGCTGCAGAGCCTGGAGGGCCGGACGGGGACGGCTGAGAAGAAGCTGGCCGACTGCGAGAAGACGGCCGTGGAGTTGGGGAACCACATGGAGGGCAAGTGGGCGGTGCTGGGGACCCTGCTGCAGGAGTACGGGCTGCTGCAGAGGCGGCTGGAGAACGTGGAGAACCTGCTGAGGAACAGGAACTTCTGGGTCCTGCGGCTGCCCCCGGGCAGCAAGGGCGAGGCCCCCAAGGTAAGCCTTGAGGGTTGAGAGTCAGACCAGAGGGGGTGGGCCCAGCCCTTTGTTAGTGAACATTCTCAGTGGCTGGCTTTTCCTTTGTGGCTTTGGTAGGAGACACTCACTATGTGACATTTGTGATTTCAGGTGTCCAGGTCACTTGAAAATGATGGAGTCTGTTTTTCAGAGCAGGAGTGGGAGAACCTGGAGGGCTGGCAGAAGGAGCTGTACACAAATGCGATGAAAAGCAGCTATGAGACTCTGGTCTCTCTAAGTAAGTAGCAGAGTTTTCTCCCTAGAATTTGCTCTCAGGCATCCTACAATTCTTGGCCAAGTAGCTTGTGACCCAGGCTGCATCTGTGATTCTAGTGGGCTGTGGATCCTCTCTTGGCCTCAGCCAGGTTGAGAAATGGGAGTCTCCAGGCCCTCAATTTATGAAGACTTTCGGAAAGGTCTTGATGTTGTGCATTTTGTATTTCTTCCCTGTGCTCATGTAGTCGGTTCACCGCTGTGGCCTGTCCTGTTGCGGAGCACAGGCTCCGGACGCACAGGCTCAGTGGCCATGGCTCACGGGCCCAGCCGCTCCGCGGCATGTGGGATCTTCCCGGACCGGGGCACGAACCCGTGTCCCCTGCAGCGGCAGGCGGACTCTCAACCGCTGCGCCACCAGGGAAGCCCCCAGTCAGTTCTTGATAACATTTACTAATAGATAAGATGTCATCATGTGCCTTAGAGTTTAACATGGCTAGGGTTCCTCATGCTGCATTTAATACTTAGGACTGCTTGACAGGAAATCCTTTGTCGCCTGGGATGGGCAGACAGCATGGGCTCACCAAACACTGTTTCTTGGCGTTTACCTGGAATTACAGATGGTCCTTGTGGTCCCAGTGTTCATTTTGTGTTGATGAGAAGTGCCGGTTGATAGATGTACATCTTTATATGTAAAATGTAGGCTATTACGTAATAAATGCATTTTGTTTGGTTGACAAAATCTTTTAGCACCTAGGTCCGTGGAGGCTTGTCAAGAAGGCCAGCGTGCCTGGAGCGAAGCGGAGGGGGAGGGGAGTAGCAAATACGTCAGAGATGGGACTGTGTGACCTCGACTGGCTCACGTGTTCTGCTAGTGGCTGTTTCCTTGTCTGTCATAGTGCGGGATAGCAGTGCTGACCTTACCTTGCAGTGCTGTAGCCCAGATGAAGTTAGATACCCGGAGAGGAGCCCATGTCTGTGGGTGGCAATGGTGGTGTTGGAAGGAAAGCAGTGGGCTCTGAAGCCTGACCACCTGTGCCTCAGACGGCTGAGAAGGGGCACTGAAGGCAGCAGTTAGCTGAATGGATCACTCGAATTGGCCATAATTTTCTAATTGTCCCAAACTGCTAAGGGAAAGTGACTTTGAATCTTTTGAAGTTTTAATATCAGCTCCTTGACATTGGTCACCTTGTTCATCGGCAAATGACCAGTACTGTCTCCTGGGCTCACACTGTGCCGTTTCCAACCCAGAGGTGCTCGGCCAGCCAGAAGGAGAAGCGGAGTTGGGTACAGAGATGCTGGGTGACTTGGAGGAGGAAGACGCTCGTGGTGTCCACCCAGGTGAGTGGCTCCAGAACACTCCACCCCAGGCCCGCTCCCTGCAGCCTGTGGTGAGCTGCCCCACTGCTAAACAGCCAGACACTGATTGTTAGTAACCTCACCTGGCATTTAGTTGTTCTAAAGTCCTTTATGATTATCATCAGCTCACCTATTATATGTGTATCTTACCTCCTTAACTGCTGTGTGGAGTCCCTAAGGTTCACGGCCGTGTCACACTTCTGTATGCCCTGCAGACAGTGTAGAGTGTCTAACAGGCCTTAGTCAAAACCCACTGGAGATTGAGAATAGGGTTGGTCAGATCTTCAGGAGTGAAGCTAACTGGGTAAGGGGCAGGAGAAACCGTTGTAAACCAGGTAATTTGGGGAGAATATGCAGGAAGAACAGAGCTGGATACGTGAATTTTTAAGCTATAGGTTCAGTTGTTTGGTTATTTTTAAATTATTCACATGTATTATTTTAACACTCTGTAACACTTAAATTAGCTTAGGTGTTACCTATGTATACTTTACCATTTTCCACAGAGTTGAATATAAATTTGTGGACAAGCTTAGAGAATTTGTAACACTGTTCTGTAAGAATAACATATTCGGATTTCTGATCAGTATGTCTCTACCTGAGTATAGGTTACTTTTTCAGGTCTTGCAGCCCAGTCTGTCTTATCCTCTTCCAAATTATCCTGATTCCCTTGATCCTGGGGTACTTTGATTTGAGCCCTTCTGAAATTCACAGATGTTTGTTCAGCTCTGAAAAAACCAAAGGTGCTAGAATGTGATCTTTTTTGTGGCTCTTCTTTGTCTTGGCAGCGGAAGGGGTTATGATCAAGCAGGAGATACAGTACACGCAGGACGGCTCTGCAGAACTTCCTGGAGAGTTCTCGGGCATTGCCGAAGAGCACGCTTTCCTGAGCCCGGAGCAGCCTGAGCTCTGGGATGGTCAGGGACGTGCTGTCCTCTTGGAATCAGGTCCCGGGGACACTAACCCAGAGGAGCCCATTGAGGGCAGTAGAGACCCTGGCAGTGGCAGAACTCTGGGCTGCCCCCCGAAGCAGAAGTCTAACAGGCAGCTGCAGCTGGGTCAGCAGCGTGGGCAGGGCCTGAAGCTGAAAAGGGACACTGCTGGCCCCTACGAATGTTCCGAGTGCGAGGCCATCTTCCGCTGTAAGCAGCAGCTGGCCGCACATCTGCGGACCCACTCAGGATGGGAGCCTTACACGGCCTCGGAGCCAGAGGAGAGCCTTCGGCCCCGGCCCCGGCCCCAGCTTAAGCCCCAGCCCCGGAAGGCGAAGCTGCACCAGTGTGATGTGTGCACAAGGAGCTTCAGCTGCAGGGTGAGCCTGCTGACCCACCAGCGCTGCCACCTGCAGGAGGGGCCCGGTGCCGGCCGCCGGGTCCAGGAGCGGTTCTCACCCAACAGCCTGGTCGCCCTGCCCGGCCACATCCCTTGGAGGAAAAGCCGGAGCGCCCTCATCTGTGGTTACTGCGGCAAGAGCTTCAGCCACCCGTCCGACCTGGTGCGGCACCAGCGCATCCACACGGGCGAGCGGCCCTACAGCTGCCCTGAGTGTGAGAAGAGCTTTGTCCAGAAGCAGCACCTCCTGCAGCACCAGAAGATCCACCAGCGGGAGCGGGGCGGGCCAGCCCTGGAGCCCGGAAGGCCCAACGGCCTGCTTTAGGGGTGCCGGCCCCTCGCCCGACTGGGGGAGGCGGAGGGGGCTGGCACTGTCCCCCCGAAGAGACAGTGTAGCGTCAGGGACTGACTTCTTTCTGAGGGGAGTCACTTTGATTTGCTTTCCCTTGACCAGGCGCCAGGCCGAGCCCAAAGGCTGCCCTGAAAACCACGGAAGAGGAGGAGTCGGGGCCAGGCCTCTCCTGCTGTCTTCACCCTGCTGCCGAGTTTGCCATCTCTGTGGCACCGTCAAGTCTCTGCTTTTCCCATCCGAGTTGATAGTCGTGGACTGGGGTTGGCTCTCCGAGCCTGCAGGGCTGGTGGCCTGTTCCAGGGCCCGTCCCGGCATTCAGGTCTTCCCGAGGGTTGAGTCGGGCCAAAGGAGCGAGCAGACACGTGGAAGCATAGCCCTCTAGCTGCTCTTCTTTTGTCATCTCCTTGTTAATAACAAGTAGAAGAAATAATTTAAATGAACTGCTTACCGTGCTCTGAAGACCCTTTTTTTTTGGAATTAGATTTTAGTTGGTTAAAGAAAAAGTCTGACAATTTTTAGATTTCCAGAGTTGTAGAAGTTGTTCCTAACATGGGGACTGGGCCTGCCCTCTGGGAGGGGATCACTTATGGGGCTCTTTTAGCCCACCCACATTTAGTCAGGGCCGTAGTGCTGGGCTCCCTCTTGTGCGGGTGCTTGGCACTCCGGAATAGGGCTACCTGACCGAGAGGAGGAGAGTAGTAGGGTTAGACCCCAGAACCCCTGCTGGGAATGAAGGGTCCTGTAAAGGAGCTGAGGTACGGTCCTGCTTCTCTGAGTTTGGGTTTCTCTCTGCTCTTCCATCCCATCCTTGCTGCGGTTCTGCAGCCTCCCAGCATAGAAGACTACTTTTTACTTAAGGTTGTTCAGCTTATACCAGTGGTTACTTGAGTTGGTTTTTATTATACCAGTTGTTTCTTGAGGTTGTTCAGATCACACACTTTCCACAGTAGCTCTGGGATTGACTATTCCTGAAATGGTGGAAAAAAAGCACACAGATGCCCATCTCTCAGGAGTGTTGAATGCCTGCCCCACTGTTGTTTGGGGAGATGAGAGTGGGCTCCTGGGTCCTATGTGAATGTCCCGTTTGATGTTTGCAGTTGCCTAGAATAAAACTTAACTACTAGCCAAAAAAAAAAAAAAAACCCACAAAACTCCTGTTTGATGTTTTTCTCCATTTGTCAAGAATACCCTCCTGGGGCCAAGATGGAGGCGGTGCCTGACCTGGAGCAGTGCCAGAGACCTGATGGCATAGCCTGACCTGCATCCTTCCTTAAACCTAGGGAGATGAGAAGAGGCGTGTATGGGAATACTCACCAACACCTGTGGTGGCCGAGGGCTGCATCCAGTCTGAGCATCTGAACGTTGGGAGGTAGAGAGGGCAGGTGAGACACGGTGGGTGCACCAGGAGTCCTGGGGAGCACTTAGGGGTATTGGCTGAGCTACACATGTGGCCGTGTGGGTCCATCTTAAACATGGTGCTGAGTGGCAAATGTAAGAAGCTGAATGAGATCTGTAACACAATACCATTGCTGTAAATTAAAAACATGCACACAAAACAAATCACTTCGTAAGAACACATAGAAGCGAAAAGTTACGTACAGGCATTATGGTTGCCCATGGGAGGAATGAGTGGGATATGGGGTTGAGAAGAAACTAAATAAATAGATAAAAATGAGCTTGGTCGCTGTAAGGTAAGGGATTATCTTGGTGTAGAAACGGAATGTGGAGGGGAGCTGTCGTAGGGCAGCGCCGTGAGAGGTGCTCAGCTTCATTGTGTGGAGGAAAACGTCTGGAGCGTCTCTCCTAAATCCCTTCTCCAGTCTCCTGCCTGCGGGTTTTTGCATTAGAGATACCCCCTATCCCATCCTTGACTATTCTTACCTCCCAGTGAGTGCTTTAATGTGACCAGCCTTTGCCTCGCATCATGGGGAGAAAAAGTACAAGATAGGCTCCTATTTCTCCAGCAAAGTTAGATGGTTCTTGAGGCAGGGAAATGATTGTCTTAATCCGTCAGACTAGTGTGATAATGGCTAATGTTTACTGAGCACTCATGTGCTAGTCACTGTTCTAAGTTCTTCACATAAAAGTGAACTTAATCCTCACAAGACCCTATGTGGTGGGTACGATTATTACCCCATTTCCCACGTGAGATGCGGGAAGAGACCTGAAAGGTGATGCAGAAGCAGAGGTGGCTGTGAACCAGGCCATCTTGCTTCAGTGCCCACACGCTCCACCACAGGCTCTGTTGCTTCTGGCTGACCACGATTAAGGACCTCGTGTCTGGGTTGGATTCTAAGTCCTTGTTACCCAAAGTGTGGTCTCTGCACCAGAAGCATTGGCACCCCCTGGGAGCTTGGTAGAAGGGCAGGCTCTGAGACTCACTGAATCAGAATCTGCATTTTAACAGGATATCCAGGTCATGCTCTGCACACAGAATACACTGTTTTAAGTGATACAAAAAATCTTGGCCTGCTTCAACTGTCCTTCATTGAAAGTCTGCTCTGCTGGGTGATGAGAAGGAAGCAGACTGTGCAACTGCCTGAAGGACAGGGATGATCAAGTTAGATTAAATCAGCATATAGTGAAGAGTGAAATGCCAAACATCAGAGACTCATCTGTCCAATCTTCTCCTTCCTATTCCACCAGGTAAGGGCCTAATCATCGCCCACCCAGTTTTCACTCAGTAACCTAACTGGTCTCCTACCCTTAATCACGTCCTTTTTGCTACCAGGGTTATTGTCCTGGAACACAGATTGGACATGGGCTTTCCTCAAAGCCTTGCAGTGCACTGACGCTACTGATGAAGAGCAAGCTTTTAAGTGTAGATTCAAGACTTGGACAACCTAACCCGCTCCGGGTTTGTTCGCTTCTCACACTAAATTCTCTCTCCTGCTGCCACAGTGGGATTCCCGTCACTTAGTCAATAAGCCGTACTTTCCCACGACTGAATTCAGCTCAGGCTTTCCCTCTCCGGGGAATGCCCTTCTCTGTGAACCAAGTACTATTTAATTTTCACTACTCAGTTCGTAGGCCTGAGTGAAAGCTTCCCTTGTTCATTTCTTTTATTCAACAAATATATGTTGAGCACCTATTATTTAGGTACTGTTTTAAATACTTGGGGTATGTCAGTGTACAGAAAAACAGTCTTTGCCCTAGCTGAGTTTACATTCGATCAAAATACATTTCCTTAAAAAAAATTATTTTTAATTGAAGTATAGTTGATGTACAACATGTAAGTTACAGGTGTCCAGTATAGTGATTCACAGTTTTTAAAGGTTATACTCCATTTATAGTTATAAAATACTGGCTATATTCCCTGTGCTGTACAGTATATCCTTGTAGCTTATTTTATGCCTAATAGTTTGTACCTCTCAATCCCCTACCCCTGTGCTGTCCCTGCCCCCTTCCCTGTCCCCATTGGTAACCACTAATTTGTTCTCTATATCTGTGAGTCTATTTCTTTTTTGTTATATTCACTGGTTTGTTGTATTTTTAGATTCCACATATAAGTGATATCATACAGTATTTGTCTTTCTCTGTCTGACTTATTTCACTTGCATAATACTCTCCACATCCATCCATGTTGTTGCAAATTCCATTCTTTTTTATGACCGAGTAGTATTCCATTGTATATATGTACCACATCTTTATCCATTCATCTGTTGATGGACGCTTAGGTTGCTTCCATATCTTGACAATTGTAAATAATACTGCTGTGAACAGTGGGGTGGAAATCTGTTCCCTTCTTGTACTGTACCTTTGCATACCTTAGATTTTGTTCACACGTGAATATCTGAGTAGCCTCCATGTGCAGAGTCTACAGAGGGAGGGATAAAAGGTTAAATCAGATTTTGTTCTTGGGCTCACAGGCTGTCAAGGGACTTTAATAGAAGATAGAAAATGAAGCTAAAATTCTGTAAGAGAACAATTACATTCAAGTTGCAGGACATTGGGAAAGGCTTTATGAGAGATGACATTTGAGCTGGACCTTTAAGGATGAGATGAAGGACATTCTAAAAAGGAGAGACATGACCAAACTAGACCTTATGGGGCATGTACCAGTAAACACCAATTCATTCGACTTGTCTGGAGGGTGGGGTGGGAGGAGGGGAGGAGGGGGACGTGGTTGGAAAGAGAGGTTGGGGTCAGACTAAGGAGTTTGGATTGTATTGAGTTAGCAATGGGGAGCTGAGAGTTCTGAGCAAAAGGGTGACCTGAATCTAACTGCGATTTGGGACTATTAACCTAAGAAGAGGTACAGCATGCTTTTGTTGTTGCCGGGGTGGGGGATATGTTAGAAGGTTTTTGAGTGAGAACAGCAAGAGCCAGTGAGGATCTGCCTGGGTGCAGCTTCAGCGCGAAGAGAGTGATGGACAAGATCACCGAGGTGGAGTCAACAGGAGGCGATGCTCTTTGAAGGCAGGGACCAGGTCTTAATTGTATCCAGATTCCACAGCTCTGAGCATGGGGGCTTCCCACATAGATGGTCACAGCACGTTTACTGAATGAACAGGTATAACAGGAATTCACAGGATAGGGAGCTCAGTGCTGTCTGAACTAGGGAGGGCTTCGTGGAGGAAGGGGGATTTGGTTATACTTCTGGTCTCCCTCTTCTAATACTTCCCCTCCTACCACTTTACAATTCTGGGTGGGTCCACTTTCTAATCTAAAGGTAGGGTGAGGGGGCCACGGGAATTCTCTCTGAGCTGCCCCATCTCCTGGCTGAGGGCACTAGCACTTGAGTATCTTGGCCACCCCCCAACCCTACGTGACCCTAAGGTGGTGTTTTAGTGGCCCTCACCTGACCAGCCCACCTTCTGCAGCACAGGCCGATGGCCAACTGTCTCAGAGTGGGCTGCACCTGGGTGGAGTCACCCCTGTCCCTGCAGGGTCTGTGCCTCTACTTTGGAAATCCAGTGTTGTCAACTCACCCAGAGGTGTTCAGGCCCTGGAGACCTGATCTAAAAAAGAGCAATCCACAGGAGACAGATTAATAACGAAGGATGCAAGTAATTTTAATTTATATTAGAGCTACACCTGGCCTGACACCCAGGCTGGTCTGCTGTGGAAACCACATTATGGTGTCAAGTTTCTGTATTTTTTGTTCAGTATATTTATAAAGTCAGAGCGTGGGAATGAGAGGCAGCTCTGGGAGCTAATGCACAGGGCAGTGTGATCATTCAACCAGTAGAAGCAGCATTTCATGGCAACTAGTTAGAAATGAAATTCTGGACTCCTACCCACTCCAGCCGCAGGCCGAGAAACTCTGAGACCGGTGCCCAACAGTCTGTATTTTAACAAGCACTCCAGGAGAGCATGATGCACACTGAAGTTTGAATACTGACTTACAGAAACTCTTCTAAAAAACGCAGACCAGCTGTCAAAAATTAGAGCACTCTTCCCTGAACAAAGCTTGTTTAATACTAGCATCTTCCTCTCCAATCCATTTTCCAGACTCTTTCTGTTTGCCTTGGACATTAACTCTTACTTTATGAGATCACAACTTACCAATTTATAAGAAATTTATAATCCTTAATATATTGGTCTTACCCCTGCTGAGAACCGAGGGATGCTCTTCCTGTCTTCAGCACAAGTTTGCAAACTGTCTTAAGGTCAGGTTACTTCAACAAGGATTTCCACAATAAACAATGCCATATATTGATTTGACTTCTTGTTACCTTAAAGTAACACTTCCTAACCTTGCCCCAAATTCTACGGGTGCACCTTACTTGGAGAAGGTATCAATTTACTTATGTTCTTATTATATTGATTGACCACACTTTTGCTTGGATCAAATACATGGGCAAATCATTTTCTCCCTCCCTCCCAAGAGAAAAATACTAAGAAAAGAAACAAAAACAAAGCATACACACAAAGAAACAAAACTGTAGAGTAATTTCTAGTGGCAAGAATTTCCGGGCTTGTTGGACAAAGAGTGAGGTGATTGGGAAATGCAGAAAAGATAGAAAATAAAAGTTAAATGGCATGCAGCATATTTTACTTTATATTCAGAGATTAACAGGTTTTCCAGAGCAAGGCTCGGTGGGTTGCAGATGAGGAAAATAGGTCCTAGATTGAGTCGTTTATTCAAGATGCCTCAGGGCCTGAATTAGTGATGAATTTACTCTTGCTGCAGAGGATCCCCAGCTGGTGGCTGATGCGCGAGTGAAGACTGGGCGTGGCAAAGAGGGCTTCAGAGCACTCTGCGGAGGATGCTCGAGTCGCGTGTCTGCTGAGAAGGTGGGCCCCAGGGAAGGACGAGGAGACCCAGGGTCCCCAAAGGGAGGTTTGGGGAGGGAGGTGGGGCTTTTTTTTTTTTAAGGAAATAAAATTTTCCTGAGGTCTTTCTATTTGTTCTGGAAAACTAATAAAGTTTAAAAACCCTTATTGATCCCTCCCACCCCCCTGGCTTTTCCCGGGCAAAATGTATAGTCACTTTGGGTCCATTAGAGGTGTTCAAACGGCAAATCAAGGGCATACACTTGAGATTACCCAGCAATGACTGACCTTCTTCCCCCAGAGCTTCGAAGTTTCCTGCGCGTTTCCTTTATTAGCTCCCTGACTGGATTGCCCCAGCACCCCGGAGAGGGGTTAGGGTCCCACCGTGCCGGCCCTGCGCGTGGCCCGCGCCGCTCGGCCCAGGCCCGAGGGTCGCCTCCGCCCGAAGGGAGCCCGTCTGGAGGGCCCCGCGGCGCGTGAGGCCCGGCGTCGACTACCGCGGCCCAGGAGTGGGCGGGCACCCCGCTCCCCCCGGGAGACCCCCGCGGCCGCCGGGGCGGGTGGGCGCAGAAGGCCGCGGGCCGCGGGCGTGCGGTCCTTCGGGAGGCAGGGGGCGCTGTGTGCGCCCTCGGGCAGGGCCGCGAGCGCAGCTCTTGTTTAAAGGGCCGGCGGGGCACGTGGCTCGGACGCAGCTCGCGGCCGCCCGGCAGGAGCTCCGAGGCTGGGCGGCTCAGCTCCGCCTCCGCCGCCGCGCCGCGCATCGCCGCGCCGGGCCCGACAAACCGGGCCTGAGGAGAGCCGCCCAGAGAAGGACGCGGACAGCCATGGCCGAAGAGGCGCCTGCCCCGGTAAGCGCCCCCGCGCGGACGCCCAGCCCGGCCAGGCCGCCGACTCCACCGCCGCGTGGGCCCGCGCGGGTCTCGGTCGGGCGGCCCGAGCGGCCCGCGCGCCGCCTCCGCCCAGGCCCGCGCTTCTGGCCCTCTCGTGCCGCCTGGCCGCCCTCGTCTGCCTCGTCCGAGCGGCCGGGCGGCCCAAACGCGAGGCCGGGCGCGGCGGGCGGACGGCCCCGACGTCGGGGGACAGGCCGGGCTTTCTAGTTACACTTAAGATGACAAGCCCTCGTCTTTGAACCGAATGGCTGTTTCCCCGCCCCGTCCATTGTCTCACTGGAGGTCCGGCGGCCCCGGAGGCAGGCAGGGGGGCAGGGGCGCCGGCCCCATTCGGTTCTGACGACCGAAGTCTGGGGCTCGGGGCGGGGAGCGGTCCGAAGTCGCCCACCTAGTAGGGGCCAGAGCCTGACGCCCACCAGGGGCTCCGGAGTTACACCCCCATTAAGGTGCCCAAGTGTTCTTCTGACACCTAAGAGGTGTCGAGTGCTGTTTACTGGCGGGATTGTAGGTGTGGTGCTTTTGTTGTTGTTTTTCGTTTTTTTGTTTTTGTTTTTAAGATTAGTTTAGCAGATGTTACAATGTTGGCTGATAATGTGCAGTGTGTCCAATTCGGAGAAAATAATCTGTCCTTTTTTGGCATACTCGAAAAACATTTGTAAAGAGCTCAATAAACGGTATCTACTATTATTAATACATCTTAATAAAGTGTTTGAAGCCGTGATCTTTCTGGATGCTGATTATTGTGGATGATTTTTAAGGAGGAACTTTTCTCTCCTCTTTAACTAGTGAGTTTGGTGTGTGCTTTTTTTAAGGGTCCTCTGAGTGCGAGGCAGAAGAGGATGGGAGTTCTTGGCGTTTATGGCCCCCAGGAAGGCCCTTCTGTAGGGGGACAAGTGACCTTTTCAGCTCCCACTTAGCCCAGGCCACTTTCTCAGTACTCTTTCTGACCATTCTTATCCACCCGCCCCTTTTCCTCTGCTGTCTTGTGTAGCACCTGAGATCCGAAGAAACTCCTCAAACAGGACAGATTTGCCCTCAACTTTCGATAGCCCATGGTATCACACTTATTTAATTTATTATGACTATTTTTGTACAAAACTTTTCTCCAGGAGAAGGAAGAACCACATATTTTTTTCTGCATCCCCATTGCTCGTTTACTATGACAGATGTTCAGTAATTGTTATTGGATGAATGTGTTGTTTAATTGTTTAGTCAGTCGCTCATTCAGTAGGTATTTATTGAGCGTCTTCTATGAATGAGGCAGTCTTTTAGAAACTTACGTCATCATGGAGCTTATGTTCTCATGGGCGAAGCAAACCATAACACAGGCATACACATGGCACGATCATAGTTTATTAGTGCTGTGAAGGAAGGGACTAGCAGGGGGCCTATGTTAGATGTGTCCATCGGCGAAGGTCTCTTTGAGGCAGTGTTTAAGCTGGAGCCTTATACGAGAGGGAGCCAGGCGTACAGAGAGGTGTGGGAAGAGCTAACAGAAAGGTGGAAGAGAGAGCTGGGTGCATCATAGGAATCCAAGGAGACCAGGGTAGCTGGAGTGTAGTTGATAGCCAGGAGGATATAAGCTCAGGGAGGTAGGCTGGGATACGATACGAAGTTTAGGTTTTATTCTGGGTACACGGGAATCTGTTGATCGGGGACTAAAATGATCTAGTCTGTGTATTTAAAAGATTACTGATCACCCTGTGGAAAGTGTATTGTGGGGGAAGAAGGGCGAACTGGGGAAAACAGCTGGGCAGGATTGCAGTGGTTTGGGGGAAAGATGATTGGGATTTTGACTAGTCACGGCAGAGAAGGAGAAAAGAGGATGGATTTGAGATAGTTTCAGAAGTTACACGGATAGGACTTGATGGTGATTTGACCATGAGGATGAGTGCAGTGAAGGGATGAAGTGTCAATTCACCTTTCCAACAAAGCTTTCAGCGAGATGAACTGGGACTGAGACTTTGTCATCAGGCACCAAGGTAAGCTGAGGCACTGCAGGAGCTCTTTTCCGAGATGCTGAAGGACATTGTAATGAAAGAGGTGGAGGACAAAGGCCATATGAACTGCTGCATCCCTGAGCCAGAGCCACCATCGTCATCATCCCCCTCGTGATCAACAACACAGGGCTCACATTTATTGAGTATTTGCCATGTGCTATTTACAAAGATTGTACCATCAAGTCTCACAATCCTATCACGTAGGCACTGTTATTACCCCCATTTTATAGATGTGGGATTGAAGTTGAAGTGCTTAACAAACCTTGCCAAAGTCAGCCAGCTCGTGAGCAGTGGAGCTGCCAGCTGCACTCTGGTTGTTTGACTGCAGAGCTTCTGAGTTTCAGAGGAGGAGACTGAGACCCGGAAAGGAAGTCACCTGTGTGAGGCCACAGATGCTTTCCTGCTTTGGCCATGCCTTTCCTCCTGTTCCCACTTGCTAACACCCTGGTCCAGCCAGTGTTTCCTGTCCTAGAGGCTGGATGTCCCCCCTCCCCATCCCTGGCTGCCTGACTGGTCCTCAGGATCCCAGATGGGGCTTCACCTGGGCAGGTGCCATTCTGAGGTTTCTTTTAGAGATGGACATTTTGACTGGATAATTCTGATAACATCTCTCTTTTCTCTTGTGGACAGGCTCCAGAGAGGGACAGGCAAATAGGGGATGAAAGGCCTTTGACGCCTTCTCCATCACCCCAGCTGGCTGCTGAGAAGAGCTCATACCTCTACTCCACGGAGATCACGCTGTGGACGGTGGTGGCCGCCATCCAGGCGTTGGAGAAGAAGGTGGATTCCTGCCTGGCCCGCCTGATGACTCTGGAGGGGCGGACAGGGAAGGCTGAGAAGAAGCTGGCCGACTGCGAGAAGACGGCCGTGGAGTTGGGGAACCAGCTGGAGGGCAAGTGGGCAGTGCTGGGGACCCTGCTGCAGGAGTACGGGCTGCTGCAGAGGCGGCTGGAGAACGTGGAGAACCTGCTGAGGAACAGGAACTTCTGGATCCTGCGGCTGCCCCCGGGCAGCAAGGGCGAGGCCCCCAAGGTAAGCCCTGGGCGCCGGGGGTGGGACAGCCCGTGCCCGTCAGCGTGCGGGTGAGCGTGCGTGACACTGTGGTTCCAGGTGCCCGTGACCTTTGATGATGTGGCCGTGTATTTCTCTGAGCCAGAGTGGGGCAAACTGGATGAGTGGCAGAAGGAGCTGTACAAGCACGTGATGCGGGGCAACTACGAGACGCTGGTCTCCCTGGGTAAGGCTGTGTAGGTGGCACCCTGGGCCTCGGTGCACAGATGGGCCTCCTGTGGTCTGGGTCTTGGCTTTGGCTTCTGTTCCTCTGGGGGTCTCTGCATCTCTGTGGGCAACTGCATGGTGGGTGTGCAGTCCTGACCCAGCTGCCTCTGTTCTGTGTGCAGATTATGCCATCTCCAAACCGGATATCCTCACCCGGATGGAGAGGGGAGAGGAGCCTTGCCCTGAAGGCCCGAGGGGCCGGGAGGAGGGGAGTGACAGAGAGGAAGCACGCCCAAGGAGGCTGGGCGCTGGTGAGTGGGGGCAAGATGGAGGCGTGGCTGGGGACAGTCCATTCATGTCCCCAGCCTCCTGCGCTTCCGAGCCGTGAGCCCAGGACAGAGCGCAGGCCCTTAACCCAGGGTGGGCCGCGCCCTAGCCCCCTTCACTCGTTTCACCTACCTCCACCCCTCACCTCTGACAACCGCCAATCTGTTCTCTGTATCTATGACCTCATTTTTGTGTCTTTGTTTTTAATAGATTCCACATATGAGTGAGATCATACAATGCTTGTCTTTCTCTTATTTCATGTAGCATAATGTCGTCAAGGTTGCGCCAATGACAAGATTTCATTCTTTTTTGTGGCTGAATAATATTCCATTGTATGTATATGTGACATTTTCTTTATGCATTCATTGATCAGTGGACACTTCAGTTGTTTCTATATCTTGGCTATTGTATATAAATAGTGCTGCCATGAGCATCAGGGTGCAGATATCTTTTTGAGTTAGTGTTTCTGTTTTCTTTGAAAGAATACCTGGAAGTGGGATTGCTGGATCATATTGTAGTTCTATTTTTAGTTTTTTGAGGAACCCCTATAGTGTTTTCCATAGTGGCTGTACCACTTTACATTCCCACCAACAGGGTACAAGAGTTCCCTTTTCTCCACATCCTTGTCATTTCTTGTCTTTTTGATAATAGCCATTCTAACAGATGTGAGGTGGTATCTCATTGTGGTTTTGATTTGCATTTCCCTGATGGTTAGTGATGTTGAGCATCTTTTCATGTGCCAGTTGCCCATCTGTATGTCTTCTTTGGAAGAATGTCCATTCAGATCTTCTGTCCATTTTGTAATTGGATTTTTGTTGCTGTTGAGTTGTGTGTGTTCTTTATATATTTTGGAAGTTAACCGCTTATCAGATGTATGACTTGCAAATATTTTCTCGGATTCAGTAGGTTGCATTTTCACTTTGTTGATGGTTTCCTTTGCTGTGCAGAAGCTTTTTAGTTTGATGTATTCTCTCTTGTTTATATTTGCTTTTGGTGTCAAATCCAAAAAGTCGTTGCCAAGACTGATGTCAAAGAGCTTACCGCCTGTGTTTTCTACTAGGAGCCTATGGCTTCAGGTCTTACCCAATTGCCTTTCTTTTTCTGATTGTGAGCCTTATCCTTCCGTTATAAAGTTCCCCGTCAACTTTTCACCTAATGATTTTATTAGCCATTGAAGATTGTTGCCTGGATTCATTATTTTATTAGGGGTTGCAAAATGGTGAAATTTGGTCATTACTTTTGTACCTAATAGCTGAAATTCTTTTTTTTGGTACGCGGGCCTCTCACTGTTGTGGCCTCTCCCGTTGCGGAGCACAGGCTCCGGACGCGCAGGCTCAGCGGCCATGGCTTACGGACCCAGCCGCTCTGCGGCATGTGGGATCTTCCCGGACTGGGGCACGAACCCGCGTCCCTTGCATTGGCAGGTGGACTCTCAACCACCACGCCACCAGGGAAGCCCTAAAATTCTTTTATAAAGAATAATTTCCCTAACTAACTCTTAGTTACCTTGAAATATAGTCTGTACAGAAAAGGCAGGATAGGTGTTTAATTCTTTCCCTTCATCAGTTTTTAGAATGAAGAGTTGCTTCCTTAGACACCTCCAAAGGTGACCAATACTTGGGCTTTTCTTTCTTTTTTTTTTTTATTATTATTATGACTTCATAGATTGTTAAGTACTTTATACATACAATCCTTTGCAGCCATTATTTTCATGCTTAAGTTGTCCCATTTTTAGCTCTTGGGAGCCCCTTCAAGTTGACCTATAGGTCATTTTGATGTAACTTTGATGGCGTTCAGACACCGTAAGATGTTCTAGTTTCATCTTGTATATTTCCTTCCCCAGACCTGGAATAAGAGTTTCTCCAAGAAGTTTTATTTCTTTCAATAAGGAACGGTATTCTGAGACTGCAGTATGAGTTCTAGTAGTTGCTAATTTTTGGCATTACTTCTAGGCCTTCTCAGAAAATATGTATTTTTGAGAAGAAAAAAATCATGAGTTCGTAATGATATTTAGAATTCAAATTTAATGTCCTTTGATTTTATACTTGTATGTCACTTTTACATGGACATCTTAAATTCTTCACTATATTAGCATAATTACTTACTTGCATTATTTTGTATCCAAATCTTAATATTTCATTATCCTGTAATATCTTATTTGGAATAATAATAATTTGGAAATAATTTCAAATAATTGAGTCTGTATTACTACTAACAATTACACTTCTAATTGAAATTTGAGATTTCTTTGCAGCTCTTTTTGTCATCTGAATGCATATTTCATTCAGGACTTAATAGACAAAATAATGCCTTTTAAAGTCGCTTGAAATAATTATTTTCTCTATGTGGTTATGACACCAACTTGATATACAGTTAAGTTTCTTTGTTTCTGCTTAATTTTACTTATTTATTTTTATTTATTTATTTAATTTACTTATTTTTGGCTGCGTTGGGTCTTCGTTGCTGTGTGCGGGCTTTCTCTAGTTGCAACGAGCAGGGACTACTCTTCATCGCGGTGCGCAGGCTTCTCATTGCGGGGGTTTCTCATTACGGTAGCTTCTCTTGTTGCGGAGCATGGGCTCTAGGCACGCGGGCTTCAGTAGTTGTGACACACAGGTTTAGTTGCTCCGCAGCATGTGGGATCTTCCTGGACCAGGGCTCGAACCCGTGTCCCCTGCAGGCAGATTCGTAACCACTGTGCCACCAGGGAAGCCCCTGCTTAATTTTAGGTTTTTAGCGATAGTTCTTTTTAATTATGATTTAATTTAACTTTTTGAACATGTAAGACATGGTTGCAAAGTCAAAATGATTTAACAGGATACACTCAGGGAGGTCTCATTTCCACCCTTATCCCCTCCCTCTCCCTATAGATAACCATTTTTATTAACTTCTCGTTTATACTCCAGTGTTTCCTTTTGAAAATATCACTAATACATAGATACCTTTGTATTCCCCCATACTATTTGTCTTTGAAGTACCTCATAGCAGTATGTAGAGATCTTCCTAATTTTTTGTGTGAATATGGAATGTTCCATGGTATGATATACCATAGTTTATTTAACCAGTCTTCACTGATGGATTATTTGGGGAATAGCCAGTATATTGCTGATATAAATAATGCTGTAGGAAATATCTTGTGCATAAATCAGTTCATATTTTTGTCCATGTATCTTTGGGATACAGTCCAGAAGCTGGACTGCTGGGTCAAAGGTAAATGAATATGCAATTTTTAAAGAATTTATCACCAAATCCCCCTCCATAGGGGTTGTATCATTTACATTCCCGTCAGCATTGTGAAAGAGGGCCTCTTTCCCCACAGCCTTGCCACTAGAGAATGTGGTCAGACTTGTCAGATTTTTGTCTGCATAATAGGTAAGTACTTCAGTGTAGTTAAAAAAAATAGATTTATTAGAAATAATTCACTCATTTAAAGTATACAATTCAGTGCTTTCTATCATATTCATAGATAAGTGCAGCCAACACCACAGTCAATTTTATAACATTTTTGTCACCTCAAAAACAAGCTCTGTGTCTTTCAGCTATCACCCTGACCCCCTTCCCAGCCCCCCAGCCATAAGCAACAACAAATCTGCTTTCTGACTCTGTAGATTTGCCTATTCTGGACATGTCATGTAAATTGTAAATGGAATCACGTAGTATGTGGTCTTTGGTGTCTGTCTTCTTTCACTTAGCGTAATGTATTCAAGGTTCATCTATATTGAGCTGTGTATTAGCACTTTATTTTTTTTTCTTATTTTAGTTAAATACATATAACATAAAATTTACCGTATTATCTGTTTTTAAGTATACAGTTCAGTGATATTAAATACATTTACCATGCTGTGCCACCATCACCACCATTCATCTCTTTTATTCTTTTACTGAAATTCTGTACCCATCAAACAATAACACTCCCCGCCTTTCTCAGTCCCTGGCAGCCACGGTTCTACTTTCTGTCTCCCTGAATTTGGGTACTCTAAGTACTTCATATAAGTGGAATCGTACACTGTTTGTCTTTTTGTGGCTGGCTTATTTCACTTAGCACAGTATCATCAAGGTTCATCTATGTTGTAGCGCATGTCAGAATTTCCTTTATTAAGGCTTTTATTATACTGAGGTAGTTTCCTTGTATTCTTAGTTTTTTGAGTAGTTTTTTCATAAAAGGGTGTTGAATTTTGTCAAATGTTTTTTCTGCATCAGCCGAGATGATCATGTGGGGTTTTTTCCCCCCTTCATTCTCTTAATGTGGTGTATTCCATTGCTCCAGTTTCATATGTAGAACCATCCTTGCATTCCAGGAATAAACTCCACTTGGTTATGATATTTGATCCTTTTAATATGCTGCTGAATTCGGTTTGCTAGCATTTTGTTCATATTGGGATATTGGTCTGTAGTTTTCTTGTAGTGTCTGGCCTTGGTAACAGTGTAGCTTTGTTTGTTTATGGCCATTTTAATTTTTTATTCTGTGAAATATTCATGTCTTTTCCCGTAGGAAGCTTTTTTTAAAAATAAATTTATTTTATTTATTTATTTTTGGCTGCATTGGGTCTTCTTTGCTGCACGCGGGCTTCTCCAGTTGTGGCGAGTGGGGCTACTCTTCATTGTGGTGTGCGGGCCTCTCACTGCAGTGGCTTCTCTCGTTGCCAAGCACGGGCTGTTGGCATGTGGGCTCTGGAGTGCAGGTTCAGTAGTTGTGGCGCACAGGCCCAGTTGCTCCGCGGCATGTGGGATCCTCCCGGACCAGGGCCCGAATCCTCGAATCCGTGTCCCCTGCATTGGTAGGCGGACTCTCAACCACTGCACCACCAGGGAAGCCCCCTCCCCTAGGAAGCTTTTTAAAAATGCATACTTCCTAGGCCCACCCAGAACTAACTGATAAGAATCTTGGGGGTGCTCCCCAGGGGATCTTTATACACCAGCCTGGTGGAGGACCTGGGATTGGGAACTACCGTTGAAATGTTCTGAGCCAGCAGTCCTTAAAAAGCCAGACCTTTGGTCCTGCTGTGTCATGACCTGTGTGGTACTATCGGATAACTTAACATGCTGTATATACCATTTCCTTTTCTCAGATATGGAGGCTTTAGTCTAGAATCTAGTTACTAGACGATCAGTAAAGTTTACTGAATTATCATACCCTGTGTTTGACCTGATGCTCCAGGTGACTGCATTTAGCCACTCCCCAGAGGCTCCTGGGAGACCTCTGCGTTGCCCGTAGTGTCACTGATTTGCATTCCCCAGGCCTTCCTCCATACCCAGAGCACACCTCCAGCCCAGTCAGCCCTGCCCGGAAGGAGCCAAAAGAAGGTCAGGCCTCCAAGCACCAGCAAGACTCAGAAACAAGAGTAACCCCACCCGAAACGAGCACCGGTGAGTGAGCGCTGGGCAGCCGTGTGAACAGGACCAGACAAGCGGTACTGAGCATAAGTGCTGCAGCTCGAGGCGGGGAGAGGTGGCTGGGGGCTGGGCCAGGCCGGGCAAGGCTGGACAGGTTTCCTGGAAAAGGGGCCCCTGAGACGGGCCTTAGAGGTAGATTTTGCTGGGAACACAGGGTATTTTCAGCGGGAGGGAACAGTCTAAGCAAAGGTATGGGTTACTTAGGTATGTTGGGGGCCAGGTACACTGATCGGGCTGGAGTGAGGGGAAGGGCACAGGAGGGGGACATTGGGTCTCTTCAGGGTTCTTAAGACAATCCCGTTAATGGGGCAGTACGTGCCGTATGCCTAGCAGAGTGCCAGCATATGTGCTCCTCAGTGAGTGTCCTCTTCTGAAGACTGGTGAAGCTCCAGTCACCGCTTCCAGTGTTCTCTGCTTTTGTTTAAAGGAAATTCTTGCCCATCCTGTCACAAAAATGGAGTATATTCAGGGGGCATTTAGCATAGTACTTGGCAGGTAACCCAGAGCCTTGTTTTCTGTCTCCAGACCGCTCTGTGCTGGCTTGGCGTCCCCCTCCTGCCGGCCCGACCGTTCAGTCTCTGGGTTGCTTTCTATCCAGTTACTTCTGTGCATCTTTCCCACTGAATATGGGCCCCTGCAGTTGGAGGTGACACCCCATCCCCACTTCCCTGTGTCCATCCTTCCCAGCCAGTGTGTAAGAGGACTGGGACCTTATCATTGTCCTTTTGCTCTGTTGCAAACCCGGTGCTGTGCCCTGGGGCCTCCCCAAACCCTCTGTCCTTTTGAGGCCCATCAGGGCGACCCCCAGATGCAGAGGGGCCAGTTGTTAGCACCACGTTCATAGGAATTGGGGGTGTGGCCTTCCCCGGTCTCCGCCCACCTCTGAGCAGAGGCTGCGGGGTGGGGCACCTGCCACCCTTGGGACAGAACCCAGCGCTCCCTCTTCCTGGGCCTCAGGCACTTGAGCGTGTCCTGGACCTGCTAGGGAATGGCTGGGTCTCCCTGTGGGAGCCTGCTGTTGGGAAAGGCCCTCATGGGACTCTCTGTCACAGGACCACTAGCCAGCACTAGCGTTTTGTCCTCGGTTAAACGGGAGGAAGAATCTTCAGATGGGGAGTCACCCACCTCCCCTCCCAGGGACATCCTGCCCGGCATGGGGCCAGGTGAGTGAAGGGAAGAGGCCCCGTGGCCACAGCAGAGCCTCGGAGGAACTCGGGGGCCCTTTGGGAGTGGACCTGGTAAGGGGTTTCCTCTTGAGGGCTCCCTCCCTCACCCCCCAAGTGTTACTTTCCTGGGGCTCTGGGGACCCAGGTCACCTGTGGTCCTGTTTCTCCCGCATCGTGGTCTGGTCTGGCTGGAAAGGTGCTGCTTAAAACAAGCTGTGTGCCACCGGGTGTGGCCTCCTCGCGGCCACCCTGTGAAGTGGCCCAGCCACAGCCTCTGGCGTCTTGCAGCTGGAGTCTGGGGGCCTGTGATTTAAATTTAGCTCTTCCTGCTTAGAGTCTGTGTGTTTTCTATAAACCGGGCTTACCTCCTGATAAGCAGGGGAAAAGAAAGCGATTATTGCCTATTTTGGCCCAATAGAAAGGGATCCAGCTGTCCTCCCATTCCATTCCGGTACCTGCTTCGGTGGGAGGCAAGCATGAGATCTGGGCCCGCCTTGGGGTTGTGGTGTGGCTGCAGATGGGCTGCAGATGAAGAGATCTGGGAGCCTTGGCCTTCACAGAGAAGAGGGCCTGAGACCCTCACTAATTTCTAAGCCCAAGACCACCATGGGGGCCTCTTCAATGCAACAAGGTTTTACCTCAAAGTTTACAGGATTCTTAGACTCTTAACGATTCTGTAGCTGGAGGACTAAATTAAAAACAGTGGGTCATTTCTGACATAGAAATAAAGTTCTGCCCTGAGTTAATTTGTGAGGATTACTGGGTGAGCGGTGAGCAGAGAACCCAAGGTCTTGCTGTCGGGTGCTGCCCTGGAGGTTCACCAGTTAAGGGGTCTCTTCCTCAGTGGCCTCCCGGCTTGTGGTTTAAGCTCAGGCTTCAGCAAGAATAGAAATCACTCTTGTCTTGGACCTTGGAAGTTGCCCAATGAGGGCTGTAAGTTTTCATTCTAATAGGCAGCGGGCAGGGTTCTCTTGTCACCGTTGAGCAGACTGTGCGGTCTAGCAGCTGAGGCTGCCGGATCCTGGGGGATGGTTGGCTGGCTCCAGAGGAAACCAGAGGTGGTGGGAGAATGCCGGGTTCCAGGCAGGGCTCTGCGGCCAGGACCGGCCTCCTCAGCGACAGGGACCCCTGGAGCTGCTGCTGAGACCACCTGTCGCTGCCTGAGTCCCACCTCAGAGTCAAGTGTGACCCACACTGAGGCCCAGCCGGGAAGCCCAGGACTCGTGCCCGCTTTCTGTCAGGGCAGGTGGTGGACGCTCGGTGTGGATTTGTTACTTGGCTGCGTAGCTCTGAGGGGGGCTAAGTCACCCACCACCTCCAGGCCCGAAGCCTCTTACCTAGTCTGGGGGCAGTGGTGGCCCGCAGGGCTCATCGTCATTCACAGATCAGAACTAAAGTCGTCAGAACTTTGGGGGTCCCGCATGGTCAGCATGCCGCAGGGCACAGGACGTAGGCCTCCCTTTGTCTGCCTTTCATTTTCCCACCCATCTGCCTCCCCGGTCTGACCCCTGACCCCAGCTCCTGGGTTTGCAGCAGTGTTTCCCTGCTCTGGCCGGGAGCGCTGGGAGGAAGAAGGGCCCGGGGAAGGCTGGGGGGTGGGGGCGGGGCTGGTGTGGCTGGAGCACCGGGAGGCCAGGACTGGGTCTGTGGCCCGGGTGGGGGCCGGCGGTGTGGTCCGCTTGAAATCAACGCAGACTCCATTTGCCAGGTGGTGGCGGTATGGTCATCAAGACGGAAGCACAATCTGAGGACGAGATGATGCCTGAGCAGCTCTACCTGGGGGAGTCCCCGAGCCAGCCAGAGTGTAGACTCCCCAAAGGGCCCAGGAGCAGGACCGGGGGTTCTGGCCGGCCTCACTCGGGGGCAGCGCCCAGGGTGCGGGCAGGGGACCCTCTAACACCGGGGGCACCGGGGAAGGGGGGCGAGCCGCCTCGCGTCCTCCCCCGCCGGCGAGAGCGGGCCTTCCCCTGCCCTGACTGCGGACAGAGCTTCCGCTTGAAGATCAACCTGACCATTCACCAACGGACCCACGCGGAGGAGGAGCAGCGCGCGGAGGCCCGGGGCGGCTCGGCCTCCGGGGCCGGGGGACGTGCCCAGCCCGCGCTGGAGCCGGGGGAGGTGGTGGTGCCCGGCCCCGTCATCCGCTGGCTCCCAGAGGGGCCCGAGGGCCGCCGCTGCTTCGTGGGGCGGAGGCCGGCGGCCGCCAAGGTGTACCACTGCAGCGAGTGCCTGCGCTTCTTCCAGCAGCGGAAGAGCCTGCTGCTCCACCAGCGCCTGCACACCGGCGACAGCCAGGGCTGGCCCGCCTGCCCCTACTGCGGCAAGGCCTTCCGCCGGCCCTCGGACCTCTTCCGGCACCAGCGCATCCACACGGGCGAGCGGCCCTACCCGTGCCCCGAGTGCGGCCGCGCCTTCAACCGCAACCACCACCTGGCGGTCCACATGCAGACGCACGCGCGCGGCCAGGGCGGCCCGCACGTTCCAGCTCCCCCCGCCCGCCTGGGCAGCCCGCCGCTGGCACGGCCCAGCCCCTCCGAGGAGGGCTGACCGGGCAGGAGCCTGCGGGGCACCCCCTGCTCCAGGACCACCTCAACACCGGCGGAGCCCTTCTACTTGTGCCTGATGCTGGTTCCTCCTTCTGCGATGGCTTTGGAGAGATCTTTTTACATGGGAAGCAGTGGCCTTTTTGATGACAGAGTGTATGCGTGCCAGATGCCTCAGTTTCCTAAGTTTGTCACTCTGCTGCCTTTTCTACATTCCTGACTTACACAGGGGCCACTAAGGCTTAGGGGATGCCAAGCTTTGGTGGGGGCCTTTGACGGGTACCGTGGACAGGCAACAGGACCAGAGGCCATGGCCTTTCTAGTAGGGGGTGTTCGAGACACGGAGAGCCTGGGGTTTGATTTTATACACAGAGGTCTTGGCCTTCTGTCAACACGAGAAACAGCAGAGTGGACAGACAGCCTGAAGAATAGGCACTGGAAATTTGAGTTTTCTACTGTTATTTTGAAACTTTTTTTTATGGAGATTTTCTAAGTGCTTCTGTAAGTATTGTGTGTGGTTGTAAAGGGGACCAAGAACTCCTGAGGGGCAGGGATGATTCTGCCACCTCCTTGTGTGTGGGGATGGCAGAGGGACTGTCCAGACCAGCCTGGGAATGCCTGTTGATGGGGGTGCCTTGGCTGCTGCCCTGGAAACCAGGTGTCTTCCCAGGTGTGTGTTCCTTGGCCTAGACTGATTCCCAGTATTCCTGGTCCTTTCCCCAGTGGGTGTTCACATCCATGATTGACTTTGGTAATCAGCTGAGAGTGGGGAACTGCAGCCTGGAGTGGATGACATTTCCCCCAAGGTCTCAGTGTTCACGGGTGTGCACGCTCCATGGACTGGACCCCACCTGACACCTGGGGGGTGGGGGAGGTCAGGTGCAGAGCGGGCCCAGGAAGTTCCTCCCGAGAGGAAGATCCTGGTCTGAGGGAGGCTGGTCAGCCCACGTGGACTGTGGGGTTGCCAGGCCTGATGTGTCACGTTAAAGGAGGGGGTTGTCTTCTAGAACTTGGGGCTCATGGCAGAGTTAGGCCAGGAGATCTAGGTGAATCTTTTAACCACCTCCATCCTCGTGTTACTTGTCTGTCGAAGGTGGTAATGACCCCAGTGCATCCTACCTCACCTTAGAGTTGTCAGGGTCATAATAGATTTAGAGGCAGCGGGACAAATAGGAAGCCTGATTTCGACCTTCCTTTCAGGTTCAGGGCCCCCTTTCTCTTTCATGTTGATCTTCCAGCCCTCTTCGCAGTCAGAATCACTCAAGAAGGACCTTTATTTTCTGGAGTGAGTGGAAGGTCCCACGGGTGCAAAGTGAGGTAAGACTTTCCCTTTGGGCTATATCCACCTGGAGCCTTTTGTACCTCAGTGGAACAAATTCTCACCAAAGCAGTGAGGTTCAAACTGTGGAGGTTCGGGCTCTAGCGTCGCGCCTCATGGAGAAGTCTCGATGGCACCTAGCTTCTTGTGCCTCTTCAGTCACACCACTTTGGGCACTCCCTATAAACTAGCCCTTGGTCTGGGTGACTTTGAAGCTGGAGTGATGGGTCCTCAGCTCTTCTGATTGTTGTCTTATTTATCTGGCACTATGTGAAGTGTCCAGTGTTCAGGCCTGCTTCCAGGTGCCTGGGTCCCTGGCTGTGCCACTTCCTCTTGCCCCCCTCTGACCCTCATACCTCTCCTAAAGTCCTGAACAGGGTTGGGGGCAGATGGAAACATTGCTGTCATCTCTGGGGCGAGAGTATACACGTCAGTGACTGCTCAGCCAAGCTCCTCTGGGCTTGGGAGAGGCGCCCCCCTCCCCTGCCATAGATCCTGTTTGTCTGCTCTGGTATCCCCCAGCTCTTGCCAGGGCCCCGCAGTCAGGGCTGGGCTGTCAGCAAGTGCTCAGACAGGATGCGGTGCTAGTGAAGCTGCTGAGAGCTTAGCCCTCAGCTGCAAGAGCTAGTCTCAGGTGATTCCTTGGAAGGCCTCAGGGCTCAGAGTTTCCAGGCTTTTCTAATGCTTAATGCCCTGTGTAAATACGCAAACTCCTAACAGACGCAGTAATCACTGTGCAGTGGTGCTCCTCTTCTTCTAAAGCATTCAATGTGCCGGGCTCCCGGCTAGGCCCTGTGAGTTTGCCTGGCACTCAATAGGTGTTCAAAGGACATTCTTTACACTGAAATGAGTCAGCGGAGGCTGCGTGACCTGGGAGGCTGGAGCCTGGTCTGACCCCAGTCTCACTTCCAGCTCTGGGTCTCGGGTTCCTCATTTGTAAAGCAAAGTTGGGGTTCTGGTGTTAAAAGGCTCGTAAGAACTGTGACGGTGGTGAAACCTTGGCCCCATCAGTGCTCAATAAATATGTTGGACTCTGTACGTGCACGTGACCTGGTTCCTGCTCTCTGGGAGTCTGCGGCGGTGCGGAAAGTCCCCGCCCGCCACGCGGGTGGGCTGCTCGGCCGAGCTCGGGTCCGCATTCACGCTTGAGAGCTGCCCTCGCGCCGGGCTCTCCCACGGAGCTGGCGCCCACCCCTGCCCCGCGCCCACAGAGCCTTGGCGCACGCCGCGGGGGCGGGGCCTCCGGGCCGGCCAATGGGGGGCAGGTTCCGGGCTGCCGGGGTGGCCCGCGCAAGGGGCGCGGGCGGAGCTTCCCGGTCTGGCCAATGGGGAGCCGCCTCCGGGTGGCGGGGTGGGGCCCAGCTCGTAGCGCGGGGCAGCGCTGCTGCTCGTCCGGGTCCTTTCTTTCCCGCGCGTCCGGAGCAGCCCGGCCCGACGGCCGCGAGAACACGAGAGAGCTTGCAGAGAGGCCGGGCGCTGGCCTGTGTGGGCCGCCCGGCGGCGGCGGCGGCGGCGACTCCCCCGCCCGGCCGGACAGTGCAGGGCCATGGCCGAGGCGGCCCGGCTCCGGTGAGGGCGGCACTGACAGAGGATGTCCTGCCCCCACCCCGCCCCTCCTGGAATTGGGGAGGCTCAGCCTGGGTAGAGGGTCTAGGAAAAAGACGCTTGAGGCCGAAGGGCCTGAGGGGAGCTGTCTGAGGTCTCACGATAAAATCCCTTCTCCTTTCTTGGCCCCGGTTTGCTCGCCTATAGACTTAACCACAATGTTTCCGAGGTTTCCGCCAGCCCTGACGTTCTGTGACCCGGCTCAGGGGCTCAGGGTGGGTGTGTGGGGCGGATGGGCTGTGACCATCCTCACTCCAGAGACACTCCAGGGCCCCCCTCCTGGACCTGTCTTTCAGCCCCCATCCCCTAAAATCGTCTCAGGGAGACCGTGACCCCATTCTCATCCCTTTCCCAAGCTAAGATCAGTGCTATTGTCTGGTGACCTTATTTCCACTCCAGTCTAGGCCCTTGGCTTCCTCCCGTCAGCAGTCTTGCCTCTGGCTGTGGGGGTCGTGTAAAGCTCTTCTAGGTATGAACTCTGATTCCTATCAGGATGTATTTGGGTGTCTGCTCACTCTTTTCTGAAATTGCCCAGGGTGTCCCTTCTATTGCTGCTAGGACGGGTCTGCGTCATAGAGAACTTCTGGTTAGTGGCTCAGGCTCAAGTTTGAGGCCATCCCTGGCCTGTGTGACAAGAGCTATCAAGATGAGGTTTTTCTATGTCTCTGAAGGCGGAGGAGTCATCTCCTGGTGGACATAACTTTGAGATGGTTTTAGGTACATTCCTGGATGCCAGATTTGTGACAGGGCACTGTGGGGAGATAAGCTGTTTTGTCCCTAATCTGTGGAAGTGGGGTCTGCCCCCTCTAGGCTACACCTTGTACCGGTCAGAGACCAGACTCAGAGGTGGAACAGTTATGCTGTGAAGGAAGGAAGGGACAAGTGTGTGGTGACCAGTCCCTAGCACGTGTGGGCCACTTGGCGAAGTGCTTTTATGGAGAAGGTGTGGGGGGGCCTCAGGTGCACAGAACTGGATTAATCACAGTCTTTGGTTTATAAACATTATGATCATTGGTCCACAGCCTTTATATTTGTTTTAGTGATGTAATACGTGCCAATATAATGCTCCCTGAGTGCTTTTCCGTACCTGCAGTGCATTTCAGCCTCGCAAAATGCACAGGATTCAAATGGCAGGATAGGTGTTGAGTCAAGTTCTAGCAGAGTTCCATTTCCAGGAACGTTTCCATTAAATGTCAGCTGTCCCCACTGAGGCATTCATGAATTTCTTATTACTCCTAGTAATACACGGTACATTTTCCACCTCCCGTGGCAGGATATTCTTTGAAATATTTCTTTCTTCTGACCACTCTTAAATGCTGGCTTTTGACTTTCTCTGGCTCCATCACCTGGCAGCTAGGACCTGGCCTCCTAGTGTGGAGACAACCCTGAAGCTGGTTGACAAGGCACCTGGGTCACGGGGACCTGATATCTCAGGCAGGTTAGGAGGTCACGTACTAGTAAATGTCAGGGTGGAAGTGCCGTAGAAATCACATCACCAAGGTCAGAACAACAGGGCCTCGCTCACCTCTGTGCCCAGGAATGCGGGCAGTAGGTTTGCTCTAGAACACCCAGGAACTGAAATAGCAATCTGTGTGTACATTGGTCCCCTGAGAAATCTTCTGGATCTCACTCACTTCCTTTCTCCTGCTGGGCTGTGTTCTTGGGTGAAGTGGTTGGTTAAATAATTGACTAAGTTTATACCACTATTATGTGGTAGGGCTGGGATTCAAATTCCTTACACTGACTGTCCATTTATGATGGTAATGCTTTGTCATACCATTTACCATTACCCCTGGGTCTTGGTTCAAGATTCTTCCCACAGGAGCTCTATGGGGTCAGTGTCTGCTGTCTTTGACAGTCTGCCGGGTGGGGTCTGTTTGGAGGTCTGACCAGTGAGGCCTTCTAGCACCTGGAAGAAGTTTCCCCCTATTCCAGGGGATCCTGACCTTTCTGTAGCTGGGAATGGCTCTGGGCCCATTTCCTGGTGGCTGACGCACCTCCCTGTGTCTAGTTGCAGGCATGGCACATGGGGACTGACCTCCAACGAGAGGCCCAGATCCAGTCTGCAGAGATTTCCCTTCTGGCCATCTTGGCTGCCATTCAGGCTGTGGGGAAGGTGGAACGCCAGGCCATCTGACTTCAGAGCCTGGAGAGGTGAACAGAGACAGCCAAGGAGAAGATGGCTGTGGAGATAAAGAGTCCGCTGGAGGGCAAGTTGGGACCCTGCTGCAGGAGCACGGGCTGCTGCAGAGGTGGCTGGAGAACACGGAACAGGCAGCAAGGGGAGCCCCGCAAGGTACAGGAATTGGGTGTGGGTGGAGAGGGCCTGCTTGGACTCAGTGGGGTCCTCAGACTCATAGTGGAGGGAAGCCCGGTGGCTGCCAAGGCCTGACCTCTTGGTGCCTAATGCTAGTCACCAGTTGACTTTAAAGGGCTTGAAAAACGTCGGGAGGAAGGTGTGACACGGCAGAGATGTCTGCTGTGGCGGATGGCGTGGAGTTGGTTGGGGAGGGTGTGGCTGTGCAGCAGTGGTGTGCCTGCTACTCCAGGAAGACCTCTGAGCATGAACTCAAGTAGGGGAACTCACAGGACGTGTGTGTGCACTTAGGAGAGGGGATGAGAACCTAGGAGCCCTGGTCTTGAGTCCTTTTAGCCACTGGCCTCTGCCCTTTATCTGAAGCAAACATGATGGAGATGCTTTTGCAGTTGCCCAGTGGTTTGGCCAGTGATGCCTTGTGGTTTGGGGCGAGAAAAGAGGAGACTGGAGCTGGTTTTAGCTGTTCTCTGAAATGGCCGGTGACTCACGTTGGCACAGGTGACCTGTACTTCTAGGTGTGGGCGACTGCAGAAGATGGGGCCACGCGCTTCTTAGAGTCGGAGTGGGGCAGCCTGGGAGACAGGCAGAGGAGCTCTGCGAGCACGTCGTGAAGGCGAGCCCGGGTAAGGGGCCAGCCGGGCGACTTCCAAGCCTGAAGTCCTTGGGATAAAATCCTTTATTGAATCAAATGAGCCTCTAGGCTCTGAGAGCTGGAAGCACTTTGAGATAATTTGACTGGCCCTCTGTCTTCAGGCAGGTAGAAGGTATCCTTGATTCTCGTTTTTAGTTTTTATGAAATGAAATGCAGGGAGGTTAGCTGTCTTGCCCGAGGTCTCACGGAGACTAAATATGAACTGGCCTCTGCTCCGCACTGTCTGCCCTTCATGTAGCACCAGAGGCAGCTCTTACACACGCATCTTCTCACTTGCTGGCGAGCTAGGGCCTCTCGTTATCTGTATTTGCAGCCCTCGGGCTCACCGAGCTGTACTCTGCACTGTGAGTACTCCAGAACAACTGCTGAATGAAGGATTCTTTGTGGGCCCCAGGCCCAAAAAAGGAGGTTCAGTCCTGGAATATTAAGTTCTTCAGGCTGTGGATTAAGAATAGGTGTGCATGAGCATGCGTGCTTGTGTAAGACACAATTAGATCTAAGTTTTTCAAGCTACCCCGGCCCCATTCCGTCCCAGCTTGCACCCCCATATTCTCCCACTGCTCTGAGCAGGTAAGCAGCTGGCTTGTGTCCACTCTCCCCTCCTAAGGGGGCTGAGGCCCAGAACAAATGACTTACTTGCCTTCACCTGGCCGCCAAGGTTCCTCTTCGGGAAGGGCGTCCAGCATGCTGTGAGGCCATGGGGAGAGGGAAGATGTGGCCTCAGGGGAGGCGGGGACTATGTGGAAGGGAGGACGGCGGGAGGCCTGCAGAGTGGACGGTGCGCCCAGCTGAGAGCTGACTTCCAGGCATGCCTGACTCCCCCTCCCGGACCTGTTTCCCCGTCTGTCGAATGAGGTGGCTGGGCTGTGACTTTGGGCTCCTCCTGTCTCTCTTGGATTCCACTTCTTCACTTGTGAGGGCAGTGGGATGTGCCTCCCAGCTTCGGTCACCTGCACTGCCGGCCGGGGAGCCTGGGAGCACTTGTGCTCCGCCTGAGACACGGCGCTTTTCCCCCCCGCACATCAGGAAGAGGGGCAGATCCTGCGCCAGACCCCTGGCTGCGGCGTGCTCTCCCTTCCAGGCTTGCAGAGCTGAGCCCCGTCACCTCGCTTATGGCATACGGGCCCGTTTTCCTCCCTCATAGACTGTGCCGCCACTGAGCCTGAGCTGCGGAGGTGGGAGGGGAGGCCCTCAGAGCCTGGCCTCCCACCTTTGCCTGCTGAGGGCAGCCTGGTGTCAGGGGTCTGTGTTTCTGGAGAAACAGAGGGAGAGGAGAGTGGGATGAGCTGCTCGATGTCACACAGCTGACGGTTAGGGCAGGCCCAGGTGTTCTGGTGCCCAGGGAGCGCCTGTGCCACTTGCTGCACACATATCAGTGTGGCCTGAGATGGCCCTGGGAGCTTGGGGGAGTGGCAGAGGGCAGACCAGACACCCAGTCCTGAGACTGAGAAGGTTGTCATAGAG